GTTCAGAAATACACCATTGGGGTGGTGAGTTATATAGTGTATTTTTTGAGTGTGTTGTGTATTTTTTGGTGTATTTGTGCATTTCATTGTGGTGCTTTTTCCTAACACTATTGGTGTCTTTTATAACTTAAGGTGTGTAGTTTTATATCTTGAAGTGTTTGGTTTCACGCCATTTATCTGCATTCCAACTTTGAATACATATTCAACCTCTTTTATTTGGTTAACCCTACCTAATGTATGAATCAGGGCATTATAGAAAAGTGTATCAAGTTTACAACCAACCAATTTCATCCTATCATAAATTTGCAGCGCTTCCTCGAACTTCTCAAGAACAAACAGCTTTAGAATATTTGAGAGAAATGGAAAATTTACCATATTGTAAACCTGATGTCCAGTCATACTATCCTCTGCTGAAGTTGTGCTTTAATTCGCGTTCGCCTACACTTAATCTAATCTAGACCATTAAAAAATATTAGATGGATGCACACGATTTGTTCTCACGTTCTCACCTAAGAAAGTGTTCTCATATGATCTTATATATATATATATATATATTGAAAGGTTCCCATGCGGTTGTGCGGTTGATTAATGTGCGTGAGATTTGTACTCAATGTCCGTGAGTGTTGTGCCTAATGTGCTGAGATTTATACTTAATGTGCGTGAATGTGTAAAATGCAGCAGAAAATATGAATGTCAGCTTCTTCCCCATCCCCAGTAGCCATTGCCCCCTCCCTGATGATGATGATGCGGAGGCGGACTATGGTGGTTAAGTATTATGAGAATAATACAACAGAAATCCACACTTAGCTGGTGTGCAAATTTTGTTGTGCGTGCATCATCTATATAAACATTCAACTGTACTGAAGGTAGCTGATAATCCAGAATCCATGGCCAAATTGAAGGAAGAAGTAACAAGAAGCTTGGGAGTTAATGTGCGTGAGTTTCTGTTCTGCTTCCTTCTGAGCTCATAATTCTGAACTATTCACGCAAATTAAGCACAAATCTCACGCATATTAAGCACAATACTCAGCCACATTAAGTACAAAACTCAAGCATATTAACATTACGCACATTAAGTACAAATCTCAGGCACATTAAGCAGAACACTCACGCACATTAATTCACCGCACAACCGCACGGGAAGCCACAAATGCACCTGATCCCTTCCCTATATATATATATATATATATATATATATATATATATATATATATATTAGGTTCAAATGCGGTTGGTGTGCCCAGGTGCGGTTGTGTGGTTAAATCTGAGTCATTGATCTTGCTTAAATCAGCGTCTAAGATTACCAAAATTTGAAAAAAAAAAAACGCGTTATCAATTTGGTAATTTTTGCATCTAGGTCAAATTTAAGGTGCGTGGTTTTCCTTCTTAAGGTGCGTGGTTTTCCTTCCTAAGGTGCGTGGTTTTTGTGCTTAAGGTGCGTGTGTTTTGTGTTTATGGTGCGTGAGTTTTGTGCTTAATGTGAGTAGTTGTTGAAACTTAAGGTGCGTGGTTTTCCTTCTTAAGGTGCGTGATTTGTATGCTTAAGGTGAGCCATTTTAAAATCTTAGGTGTGTGGTTTGTGTTCTTAAGGTGCTTTGTTGTGTGCTTAAAGTGTGTGGTTTGTGTACTTAAGGTGAGTGATTTGTGTTCTTAAGTTGATTTGTTTGTGTGCTTAAGGTGTATGGTTTGTATACTTAAGGTGCATCAACCGCACAACTGCACGGGAAACCTATACCCGCACCTGAACCCTTCCATATATATATATATATATATATATATATATATATATATATATATATATATATATATAAATTCATTATTGTTGTTGTTGTTATGCATACATACACACTTGTATCGTTGTTTATGTTTGAATTGTCCTTAATTAACTCTTTAATATAAATATGTATTTTTAAATAATAATAATAATAATTATGGCGGAGGCTATGGCATGCAAAGAAGTATTATCGTGGCTCAAGAACCGGGGGGAACAATCAGTTAACCTCTTCACAGATTGTCAGACACTACTCTCTTATTTGTCGTCAGCTACTATCCAGGCACGATCCTATCTTGGTTACGCCCTGGAAGACTGCAGAACCTATTTAAATATGCTTGATTATTGTTCGGTTAATTTTATCTCTAGATCGCAAAATACCTTAGCTCATACTTTAGCAGCAGCTGCTTTTAATTATACAGTACCGATGTACTGGGACAATGTCCCTCCTGACTCTATTTTGATTCATCTATAAATACAACCCAATGGTTGACTTTCAAAAAAAAAAACCAACCAAATACTGGAATACAATTCCAAGTCTATTCTTAGCAATCCAAACGATAGAATATAATTCCTATTTTATTCCTTACATATTTCATTCTCTATTGAATAACATTCGCATTCTCTTAAAATTCATTCCGTGAACCAAACGTGCGGTAAATGTTCACTTTTTAAAAATATATTATTATATCAAATAATGTAGATTCAGTATATTAAAAATATACATACATTTATTCATGGTCCACACATTATATTTTTGCTTGGCTTCAACTCTCTCTCTCTCTTTTTTTTTTTTTTTTTTTGCATTGTCTTTTTAACACAACAGGACTAGTCAGACCACCATGAATTTGTGTCACATGACACCTACAAAAAGTTAATAACTACTACAATTCTACAAAAGATGTCATTCATTAGAAGTAAAATCAATTGAGCAGTTGAATGTAGGATATATATTGAAATTGAGTGTCACTTCATCAAAAGTGCACATATTGTAGAATGGGGAGGGCGGGTTTTTTAAGCACCGTTAACTAATGTCTAAATCTGCAGTTATATCTAGACATTGGTGAATGGGAAAAAGAAAAAATGTATGATGCATAAGCAACACAATCAAATCTAGCTAATGTTGTGCGCCTCTACTTGTGACTTATGAGACACAATGACAAACATGTTGTTCGCCACCTTTATTTCTTTTTTTTTTTTTTCTTTTTTTTTCTTTCATTTGTTTTTTTTTTTTTTTTTATAATGTGTAATATAAATATAAATAATAATTATAGTTACAAGCATTAATGAATTTTATGTAAAATAATTGTAATTTAATTATAATATAAATACTATTATTTAATTTAAATTATTAAGTAATTCAAATGGGTTAAATAATAATAATAATAATAATAATAATAATAATAATAATAATAATAATAATAGTAATAATAGTAATAATAGTAATAATAGTAATAATAGTAATAATAGTAATAATAGTAATAATAGTAATAATAGTAATAATAGTAATAATAGTAATAATAGTAATAATAGTAATAATAGTAATAATAGTAATAATAGTAATAATAGTAATAATAGTAATAATAGTAATAATAGTAATAATAGTAATAATAGTAATAATAGTAATAATAGTAATAATAGTAATAATAGTAATAATAGTAATAATAGTAATAATAGTAATAATAGTAATAATAGTAATAATAGTAATAATAGTAATAATAGTAATAATAGTAATAATAATAATAATAATAATAATAATAATAATAATAATAATAATAATAAATAATAATAATAATAATAATAATAATAATAATAATAATAATAATAATAATAATAATAATAATAATAAATAATAATAATAATAATAATAATAATAATAATAATAATAATAATAATAATAATAATAATAATAATAATAATAATAATAATAATAATAATAATAATAATAATAAATAATAATAATAATAATAATAATAATAATAATAATAATAATAATAATAATAATAATAATAATAATAATAATAATAATAATAATAATAATAATAATAATAATAATAATAATAATAATAATAATAATAATAATAATAATAATAATAATAATAATAAATAATAATAATAATAATAATAATAATAATAATAATAAAATAATAATAATAATAATAAATAATAATAATAATAATAATAATAATAATGTGAGCATATAGTCATTAACGTGCAATCCAACTATCAGCTTAGGCTTTTAGTTGAGATGGAGCACATGCTTCAATTTGGTATCAGAGCCAGACTAAAGGTCATGGGTTCGAATCTCAACGCCACTCGTAAGCGACAACGGTTTACCGGTCCACGTGTTGGTTGGAATCCACCGTACACGTGAGGGGGCGTGTGAGCATATAGTCATTAACGTGCTTTTTAGTTGAGATGGAGCACATGCTTCAATTAATAATAATAATAATAATAGATATTTGAAATGATGCTTGGCGTGAAGGTTATTATTATAAATATTAGACTTATTAGAGACTTTGAGGCATGTCCAGGACTATGTGATCTAATGGTACCTGGGTTGGACTTCCATTTGGAAAATTATGAGTTCGAGCCTTAGTGGAGACGTTATTAGTTCTTTGTGTTTCAGTGGGTTGAAAAAGTATATGAACAGATACTACAATGTAATAGAGCTAGTGGCATTCAAAAAAAAAAAAAAGACTTTGAGGTATGTGGTGACCTTAGTTTATTATTTTTTAATTTTTATTGAGATATGCGTATCTGAAATATTGTGAATATGTCGATTATTGTTGAATTTGATATCTCATATCTATGATGTTGAATTTATTTTGAGATTAAGGTTTACCCATATTAAAACACAAAAATCATATATACAAATGAAATATGATGCCTTAATTAATTCAAAGACTAAGGGTCCGTTTAGAAAGCAGGAAAATGACTTCTGGAAAATGACTTTTAGAAATTGAGTCATTTTTCAGAAGTCATTTTCCTTCCCTGTGTTTGGCTGCACAACTTTTGGTGTTTGGCTCATTTTCTGAAAATGATGTAGAATTGTATAATTAAACATTTTATATAATTAATTATTTTATTTAAAATATATAAAATTTACAATAATATTATAAATAATAATATTTATTTTTAAAATCAAATAATATTATTTATTTAAAAAAAAAAACTGAATATTCATTGGTTTCCGGCGGAAACCAAGATCTGGTTTCCGCCGGAAACCATGACTTCCGGCAGGAAACCATCTGGTTTCCGCGCCGGAAACCAAGATCTGGTTTCTGCGCGGAAACCAGATGGGTTGTTTACTATTATTATTAAAAAAAAAAAAAAAAAAAAAAACCCTGCCGAAAACCAATGAGCCCAAAAGCCAAAGGATGAAGAAAGTCAACATCCGAAAAATGACTTCCCCTTTTTTAAAGGGGAAGTTGTTTTCCTTAAAAATAGACTCATTTTCCATTGACCAATACCTCATTTTCAGTTGACTTCAAATTTTCCTTCTTTCCAAACATTGGAAAGCCGGAAAATAATTTCCAGAAATCATTTTTCGGGTTTCCAAACACACCCTAAATTAATAATTCGTTTAACAATTAAATGACCATATTTGTAAAAATTGAAAGAGAAATTAAATCAAAGAGCTGAGTTAAAGTATTTTGAATGTCAATTAAAAAAATTAGATATATTGTCAAGAAATCAAGAAACAAATTAAAAGTTTAGTATTAAATTGCTGAAATTTAAAAATTTAGATACAATTGTCATAGGTATAAATGTTTGAAATTTTTTTTTTCACAACATTTAATATAATACATCTTTCTATAAAAATAAAAAAGAAAAGAAAAGAAAAGTGAAGTGATCATATCAAGTGGTAGGTTGAATAAAAAAAAATTATATATGACAAAACCATATATAAATCTTGATTGATTAAGAATTAAAAATTTAAAATAATATGGTGATAATTTTTTTCTATTACGACAATGCATTTAAAAGCGTTTGAGAGTGCATTTATAGATATTAATTAACAGTTAACACTACAAGAAAAATCGTCATATCACGTTGTCGTATTTTGATAGACGATGGACTCTGCGACGGAATACTTCCGTTGCCAAATGGATACAGAAGTATTCCGTCGCCCATTTCGCAACGGAATTTTTCACGTCGCAAATCCATCGTTATTTCTAAACTGGATATTTCGTCGCTATATTATCTTTTCCGTCGCACATTTCGCAACAGAAATATTTTCCGTCGTAATTCCATCGCATCGTTTGCAACAAATATTCCGTCGCAAATCTTATATTCCGTCGCGATTTTGAATTATTTTAAAAATTATGATTTTTAAAATATTAATATAAAAATACTATTACTTTTAAAATAAAATAAAAGATAACATAATTCTAAATTAAGTTTAAATAATAATACATTACTATTCCACATTTCATACATAATATAATCGTCAATTCAACTCTAAACATCATAATAATACATTATCAATCCACACTTAATACATAATAATAGCCAGTGGCGGATCCAGGAATTTTCTCCAGTGGGGGCGAAACATTAAAATAAAACAGATAGTTTGAAAAATAAAACACATCAAAACTTTATAAAAATATTCATAACAAAATATGAAACATAATTAACATGATAAAATAATTCAAATAAAAAACACATTATAAATTACACATCTCATTATTATTAATAACAAAAAAAAAAGTTTTATATAATAGACTCATTAATATGAAATATAATTAACTTGATAAAATAATTCAAATAAAAAATACATTATAAATCACACATCTTATTATTATTAATAATAAAAGAAAGGTTTTATATAATAGACTCATTATTAATATTTTATAGGCTAAAGTGCCATCTGGCACCCTGAACCATATGTGATTCTTCATCCCGCACCCTAATCTTTAATAAGTGCTAATTAGATTCACAAACCAAAATTTTTTTGTCGCCTAGCATTTTTAGAAGGTAGCCATTAAGTTTCCGGTTTCCTAATGCTGATGTGGAGTTGATATGCTATTAACATAATTGTTTTTGTAGATGTGGCTTACATGTCATCACCTACGTGTATATACTCAAATTAAAGGGTCAATTACTAACCCTAAATCAAATTAGTGAATTGAAACCAACGAGCCCTAACATAACTTGCGAAGATTGAGAAGCTTGCCCATTCTCCCAAGTTTGCGACCAACAAACAAACACTAAATCCCTAATCCAGGCGACTTCCAGACGACATCCCTTCATCGGCGACGAACAGTGAGCTACGGAGAGTTGTCGACGAATATATGCATGCGAAGGAGGACTAAGGTATGTTCAAGTCTTTAATTCTGCAATGTAAAACAATATATGCACATAGTGTAGGTATATTATATTGTTGTTAATGGAATATGCGAATATGCTGTCAATTTGCTTTGCTTTTGCTTGGAATATGCGAATATGCTAGAATATTATACTGTTGTTGCTTTTGCTTTGAATACTGTTGTTTTTTTTTTTTTTTTTTTTTTTTTTTTTTTTTTTTTTTAATGTAATGGAGTCCTGTTGTACTGCATTTCTTTACTTTAAAGTGTGGTCCTGCATTTCTCCCTAGCTTTTGTTTGAATTTGCTTGTATAAAGTGTGGTCCTGCATTTCTTTACTTTAAATTGATTTCTGACGGTTGGTTGGTGTATAAATTGATACTGCCAATGTTGTTGCTTTTATGATTAAATGTGCCTTAAATTTCTGTTGTCAGGATGAATGAAAGTGTGGAATTAATTATTCATCACGGTGGTAATTTTGTGAAAAAGCCTCAGTTAAAATATTTGAATGGTGAGTCAGAAATAGTGTGTTTGGACCCTGACAAAATATGTTATCCCCACTTAGTGAAGTACATAGCAGACCAAAGGTATGGGAAAATAGCCTCACTAACATATAAGTTGACCACTGAACCCTTTACAGCTTTAAAACTACTTCATAATGATGCTAGTAGTCTGCACTTAGCTCAGATTGCTAGGGAAAATAAAAGGTGTGAGATTTATGTTGAACATGGGCTAGATGAGCCTGATGTGGTTGCTTTATCTTTACCTGGGCCTGAGGCAGTATTAGGGGGTGTGGGAGGTGGGGCTGAGGTTGAATATGATGCAGAATTAGGGGGTGAGGAAGGTGGGGCTGAGGTTGAATATGATGAAGAATTAGGAGATGAGGCTGATTCTGAGCAGATTACTAATAGGGGGGACAAGAGGAAAAGGAAAATTAGACTAGATGAGGAATCAATACCACCTTATGTGTCAACATCTGAAAATCCCTTAGGAGATGAGGCTGATTCTGTATATTATGATTCAGAAGATCCACCAACAGTTGAAGAAGATTTGGAAAATGAGGAAGGAAATGAGGTGCAATCAAAGTACAATGCTAAGTACCCTAAGTTTAACGGTAAAGCAGATCCACCCTTTATTCAATTAGGTATGTACTTTGATGAAAATGTGCAATTCAAGTTGGCTATGATTAGTTATGCTGTACACACAAAGAGGGATCTTTTTTGGAAAAAGAATCAATTGGAGTATGTTAGGGTTGAGTGTTTGGGAAAGGGTTGTGGTTTTCATGTTAGTGCAGGGTGGGAAGAGAGAACTAGGTGTTTTCAAGTGAAGGCAATTAGCTTGGAACATAAATGCAACAATCAATTTACCTTGGGGATAGTTAGTCAGAAATGGTTAGAATGGAAATTTGAAGAGAAGGTGAGACAAAATCCAACTATTGGTTATTCAGAGTTGAGCAGGGACATCAAATCTGAGTTGAACTTGAATGTAACTGTCAGCATGTGTAGAAGAGCAATAACAGGGATATTAAAGAAGTTGGATATTGGATATGAGAGTCAGTTCAAAAGGCTAAGAGATTATGCTCAGGAGTGTTTGGATTCAAATCCAGGATCTACAGTGAAGATAACAACAACAACAACTGTGGAAAATTCACCATTAATGTTTGAGAGGATCTATGTGTGTTTTAAGGCTATGAAAAAGGGTTTTTTAGAGGGTTGCAGGAGGTTTATTGGACTAGATGGCTGCTTTTTAAAAGGGAAATTGAAGGGTGAAATACTGACTGCAGTTAGTAGAGATGGTAACAATCAAATGTACCCAATTGCTTGGGCTGTTGTTGAGATTGAGAATAGCTCATCATGGAGATGGTTTCTGGGTCTTTTAAAGGACGATTTGAATATTGTGGACAACACTGAATGGACCTTAATGAGTGATCAGCAGAAGGTAAATCCACTTCAATTCTTTAGTTCTGCATATGTTTTACTGTGCTTGATATTGTGGTTAACTTGAATCTGAATTTGCAGGGTTTATCTAATGTCATACAAGAGATATTTTCTGGTGTTGAGCACAGAAATTTTGCTAGGCATGTCCATGCCAACTGGAGTAAGAAACACAGGGGGATGGTCCTAAAGTCACATTTCTGGCAGATTGCAAAGACACCTAATCAAGCACTACTTGCAGATAAGTTGAAAGCTTTGGATAAGGTAGATGGTACAGCACGTCATGATCTTAACAAGTACCCTATGCAGTTCTGGTGCAAAGCATTCTTCAAAGATGAAGTTAAATGTGACTTGGTGGACAACAATTTGAGTGAGGCATTCAACAAGACATTGTTGAAAGCAAGGTCAAAGAATATTATCCCAATGCTAGAAGATATTAGAGTTTATATTATGAAGAGGATTGCAAAGAAGAAAGCGGCAGCTGAAAGATGGAGTGGCAATTATGGGCCATGTGTGCTGAAAAAACTGAACGAGAACATACTTGGCAGTGCAAACTGGGAAGTTGTCTACAATGGAGCTGAAGGATACGAGGTGAAAAAGGGAAGCTTTCAATTCAAGGTGAATTTAGAGTTGAAGACTTGTTCTTGTAGACTTTGGCAGCTGATTGGTATGCCATGTTCTCACTCTATTTGTGCAATATTTCACAAGGGTCACCAGTCAGATCATTACATCCATGAATGGTATAGTAAAGAGAGGTATTTGAAGACCTATCATGAAGTAATACAACCAATGAATGGAGAGCAGTTTTGGCCAAGAACTGAAGGTGATGAACTACATGCTCCAATCCCAAGGAAGATGACTGGCAGGCCCAAGAAAAATAAAAAACTTGAAGATAATGAGAAGAACAAGGACAAAACCAAGCTGAGTTCAGAGGTCAGTAAGCTGTCAAGGAAAGGGAGGATAATGACATGTCAAATATGCAAGGAAAAAGGGCACAACAAAAGATTTTGTTCTACTTTGACAAACCAACAAGGACAATGTGGTACTTCTAATGTTGTTACAGGAAGAGGGAGAGTAAGGGGAAGGGGAAGGGCTGGTACTGTAGTTAGAGGAAGAGGGAGGGGACCAATTTTATCTCAAGAAAGTAGCATTGGAATGTCAGGTATTTCACTTAAACTACAATTTATATATGTTCTATGATTATTGGATTTATGATAATAATTTGCTAATAATATGTTTTTATTTTTGTAGATTGCACACAACATTGAAGATTTGGAAAATTCTTGCACTCATGTCTTTTGGCAGCACTGTATTTTGGCAGCAATGACTGATTAGGCTGGTTGCTAGTGAACAATGATGATTAGGCTTTTGGCATCACTGTATTCTGTGAATGTATTACAGTGATTTTTGCACTGATTAGGCTTGTTGGTACTAAACAATGATGATTAGTTTTTGTTGTGATTAAGTCATGTAGGCATAATTAGTTTGCACTCATGTATGCAGTGAATGATTTGGCTTTCTTAGTATTGAATGAATTGCTACTGATTTTTAGCCATATGAATAATGTATTGGATGTTGGTATTCAATGGCAGTGAACTATGACCATTAGACAGTGAGCATACTTGTGATTTTATTTTTTTTTACAATTCTTTTATGCTTTAGGCAGTGATTAAGGCATAATGACAGTGATTAAAGCATAATGGCAGTGATTAAGGCATAATGGCAGTGAGCATACTGTGAACTCTGATGGCAATGCTAAAGGCATTCAGTGACCATTTTGGCAGTGAACTATAATCCCAAATTGGCTATGAATTATGACCATTACTTCACATCTTAAGGCAATAAGAAAATAAGGCAAATTGTATAACAAATCTCAAACTCAAAATATCAAATCAATGGCAATTTCATTACAATGTAAACAATTATAATTCCTAACTACAAAGTTTGGCTACAAGCACCACAATTACAATTAAGAGAAGAAAACATTTTTTCCTCAACAGTCAACACTTGATTTTCTTTTTTCATAGTACTACACTCATTAATAATTAGTTCTCTCACACCCTCTATTTCACATCTCAAAGACAACACAAGCTGCTTGAGGTCTTCATGGTCACCTTCACCCCTCCTAGCACTTTGATCATTCCAAAGGAAGAAGCCACAACCATTTCCATCCTATTCAAAACGGAGCAAAAAACAATTGAAAACCCTACCTTTAATTCTAAACAATTGAAAACACAAAATTGATTCCAAAATTCAATAAATCCCTACCTTCCATCTTTGGCACCCAAAGAATTGCTTTCTCGATTCTCTACTTGTGCAAATAGGAGCTTTCAACCCACAATTACAAAAAACACTAGGCTCATAGTCCAAGTTTACTCTCACCCATGATGATGTTGAGGAAGATGACATCTTCTACCCTGACTATAGTCGGCGACCAGTGAGGAGTGAGCAGTCGTAGGAGAACGTCGGACAACGTTGTGTGATTGCAAGTCGTCGCCGAAGAGCCGTCAGAGTAGTCTGCTAATAGCCTAATACGATAGAAAATAAATAGGTTAGTAGTCAACGAATACATTTTAACAATTTAAATAAGGAGAAAATAAAAAAAGATGGATCCACATCAGATTCTTACCTGCTCCATGTCAGCACAGCGACTGGGAAACCTTCTAAAAATGCTAGGCGACAAAAAAATTTTGGTTTGTGAATCTATTTAGCACTTATTAAAGATTAGGGTGCGGGATGAAGAATCACATATGGTTCAGGGTGCCGGATGACACTTTAGCCTATTTTATACTATTGTATTAATAGTATTGAAACAAAAAAGCTGTGTTGAAATTTTGCACTATTACCGTAAAGAGAAGTAGAAAAATTCTAGCGTGTGCCGAAGGCCAAATTCGAACCCATGCCTCTTCTCAATATCAAAGGCGTGCTTTGCCAACTAATCTAATACTTCTTTTGTTAACTATTGTCTATTTTTCTGTACTTATAATAAATCTTGTACTATATATACATATATACATACAAAGATTATATATGGGGTGGGGGTAGGGTGAGTGGGGGCAGCTGCCCCCATACTGGATCCGCCTATGATAATAGCAATTCAAGTCTAAACAACATTAACAAACAACCATTAAAATCAATTGATTTGAGATGGAAGTGATGATGAAGTACCCGTTCCCCCGCCATCAATAGCATCAAGTCGTTGTTGCATAAGGAGAATAGTGTCCTTCAAACTCTGAATTTCATGTTTTACATTTGCAGAAGTAGAAGTAGCATTGTCGGGTGGTCGCGATGTTGGTGTCATATTTCCTGAAATGTTATCATTAGTTAGACCATGAACAACAGAACAACCATATGAACAAAGTCCATAAACTCTTCTTTTCTTGTCGTGTCCACCAACCGCGTCATAGTATAATTGATTATGATCCACCTGCTCCCCATTTTCTGCCAACATCTCCCGTTGTGATTCAACTAGTTCCTAAAATATGTAAGAGATTTAGTACAAAATATATGTAAAGGCATATATATTTTAAAAACTTAAAATAAATTAAACTTACATTAATTTGTTTGGTTTTTTCAGCTATGAATGTTTGCCCATCGTGTTGTTTGATATGTGTATGCTTGAAGAGTTCATAATACGATGGATAATGACCCAATTACCTTTCCAACAAATTATATTTAACAAACAAAAGCAATTATTAAAGTAAGAAAAAATTCGGCAGAGTTTCCTTGGTATATAAGACTATCTCCCTAATCAATATATAATACAATTCAATTATAATTTCCAACATCAATCAATAAAACACAATCACAATCAACAGAAAACATAAAAGTTGGGGTCAGGTAAGATGCAACCCCTATAGCATGTCAAGAAGTAATAATAGAAATCAATGAAATACCATTATAAGAAGGATATCAAACAAATAAACATATTGAACCAGCCAGTGTTTTCAAAAAAAATAAAAATTGAACCAGCCAGAAAACCTCCAATTTCATTTTAATAAGCTCTTTATGTCTCCAAATTGATGAAACTCTAGTGAGGCAATTGCACAATACTTTGACAAATGAAATTAACTCCAAAAAAAAAAAAAAAAAGCAATTACATACCACATAATACAAAACACATAATACTTATAACTTAAACAATTCAAATGAACTTACAAGTTGAGCTGCAACTTTTACGTGAGGTGTTGACCTTGTGGTATGAATAGATTGAGCAACTCCAGTTAAAACTCCTCCACGCCTATTTCTCTTAGCCAATTCTGTTTTTTTTTTTCCTTCCTCAGAATCCCAAACATCATTCCATTTTGTCCATATTTCTGGTGGAACATATGAAGGTCTTGGCTTTTTCCTTATTCTGCTTATGTAATCAGCATATCTTCTTTTAGCATTTATCTCCAAAGCATTATACAATAAAGCATCTTTTGTAGCATCCCACTCAAAAAATTTCTGCAAAACACAATGTAAATATGAACTTATGTTAGACATGTAAACAAAATAACAATTCACATTAGAATTAAAATACAATGCATAACCATTGGGATCTATTCGTTCTTTGAACAACTTAGTAATCTTTCTTACACATACATCTGAGTTAGTCAACCTATTGATGAGGTGTGAACCCCGTGGGCTCGGGGCTCAAGAAGAAAAGAGATCAAGCCCAGAAGAAGAAGAGAAGCCCAAGAATAGATATGGGCCAAACCGAGGGGTCGGCTCGACCCGGAGGTCGGCACGGGTGGAAGGTCGGCCTAAACTAGCCGTTAACCCATATTAATCTCCTATTTACTACCCTATTTATCTACCCCACCATTCCTAACCACCCACTTATTACCCAATTATTATTATTATCCATAACCTCCCAAAGTAAATATCATTCTAAATATCCTACTAAAGGCCCCAATGGCTATAATCTTGAACCTTGGCTAGCTATAAAAAGGAGGAGAAGACAAGAAGAAAGGGATCCATTCATTCATACACACATGGGAGGACTCTCCCAAGCACTATTCCTACACACTAGAAGACCACATATCACTCTCCCACAACTACTCTCCCAAGAAGGCTTCATTCCACAATATACAAAGAAGACTCCACCACTCTTCCACGCATGAAGAAGACTCCATATGAGAAGGCTCCACCACCATTCCACCAAGAAGCATACTCCATCTCTCGGTATCAAAGATAGCTTTATTCTTACACAATATTACATGTACAAAATAGCCATATACTATGTACTAATAGCTACAAGAATAGTGAAAGTCTTGGCTTGACATCGCCCAAAAAGTGAGTTATATTTGTTCTACTTATTTTTCTATAAGCCGCATATGAAAGGTGAATCCACCAACTAAGGTTGTGTTGGACCTCCCTGGGCCCAAAAACCCTAAAACCAACACTGGCATCGTCTGTGGGGACGTGACAAAAGGTCGCATTTACCTCTTTGTCTGAGCAATTTCGGACAGCGTCCGGGGGAACGGATTCACTACGGACGGAAGATTGAGAAGGTTCACGGAGAACCGTGGACCAAGAAGAGGATTATAGGAGAAGAATCAAGTAAAGAAGACTACGTGTCGAGGTCTACAAGAGGTAACCATTATCATCTAAATTAGATGTAGTATTTAAATTAAAGTACACAAAGTTGTTGGCAAAGAGTGGTCGGTCCATCACACTGAGGGACTCGGCCGTGGGAATCAAGAAGTCGGGACGCC